CGAAACGTACGCGATAATGGGTTAAGTATAGCGGCATGTAAACCGAGACTTTCGTAATGCAAGATCCCGCGCGCGTTGCATCGTGGCATTCGTCGTTCATGTGCTTTTGTCGAGGCGACTGGGTCGCCCCCGACAAACTGGCAAACTGGCAAGTTCCAAGTGTCGCCGGGAGACCGTGGCTCGTTGCTTTCTCCGTCCTTCTCCGGCCGCCCGCGCTGGCATTTCGAAAGAGCTCGAAGTCGCGGAACAATGAGACCTGATATCGCTCGGTTCAACTACGTACCTCTGTTCTCCCTCGCCACCGTCAACGACGACGACGACGAGAACGACGTCGTGCCACCACGTCGACATCGCCCGTGTTATTGTGCGCACGTCGAGGACGGCTTACCTAATGGCGTACAATTATCGTCCCTGAAAAACTCACCCCGCCAGACGGTCTCCTTCTTTCTCACTTCCCGCTCTTTTCTCTCGGTTTATGGAATCAACGTTTTAGCGCTCGCGGCCGCTCAGGATGTAATTAATCCTCGGCGCGTTAGCCGCTGAAAATGAGGATAGACGTTTATGCGTAAACTTGCGCGCTTTCTTATAACGCCATGACGGATGGAATCTCGCATTTATCTGCGCGATGTAAAAACGCGACGGAATGCAGATCCGCGGACTGTCCTATGTTTCTAGTGTTTTAGATTGGTATATTTTCTTATGTTCGCCGCGTGGACGTCCGACGGCAATACTTTCACGACAACGTAGCGAAAACCACCGAAATTCCAACAAATTATATAAAAGGCCGCCTTAATTCCAGTGTGCTCGTTATGCGAAAGCGAGACGATTTCTGCAACTGCGGGAATGCCGAAGCTACACCGCAAATTGACTCTTTCGAAGGGAACTGAAATTCTGTCGGGCAAAACGACCACGCCCGACCACGCTCGTGATTTTTGTGCTTTCGTTACGAATGGAAATTTTTGTTTAATTTTACCAGAGGGCCGCATCTGAAAAAATAGCGCCGATAACGGTCGAATCAGAGTAGCCGCGGCCAGTAATTGTCAACCGCGGGACCGCGGCCGCGGATTTGTTGTCCATTTCCTCCGAGGAAACGTTTTGCCCGCTTTTCATCCTCGTTTTTCCCATTTCCCGACTAATTTTCGCGCCGCCCACGCGATTACGTCATGCGCCGGTAGGAAGTCTCCGCCAAGCGCTACCGCATCAAGATCATGCATTCGCGAAACGGCCATTTACGATGGGACATTTTCCGCATCGGTTTCAATGATCTGACGTGAAAGAATGGGGCTGCTTTCTACGCAGAAAGTCTAATTGTTGCATTTAGAATACGAGCTCCCTCACCTCTCTCTCTTTCTCTTAAATCTCTCCTACACACTTGTTCTCAACGCTCGTGATTTTTTGCTAGATACGATGTTGCCAAGATTTAAATGCCCGAAGGCTCGAAAGCGTAAGAATAATCTTCGCCGCTTATCTTTAAACGTTAACGATCTGAAGATCGGATTGTTCAATTCACTCACTTAGCACTTTGTGAATTGGAAGAGCCCCCCGCGATGCTCCACTTTTCTCGATAATCGCGCAAATAATTGTAATCGGTCTAATGGAAAGCCGGGGCAGCTTGTGAACCGCCTAAAAAGTTCCCTCGGAAAGTAATCAGCTTAATCAGACACAGACAATTACGTGTAATTATACCAGGCGCCACGCAATTTCTCCTTTCGATCTACTCGCAACGCTTCTTTACGAGGTAACGCGCTTAATGCTCGCGAGAGTTTACGCGGGCGATAAAACCGAAGTTGACGGCGCAGGAACGCAGGCTCATTGTCAGAGACTAGAAGAAGAGACAGCCTCGCGACGCTCGTGCGTCGGACGTTATCTTAATATTTCGCGCGAAAGGCAATGAAACTTAAACGATCGTATAGTTTCTCGTACTCTCGTACTGCGTTACGCGTCCTTTACGAGAGATAGCAACGGGAATTTCGTTCCTTTATAAGCACGCCACTTATATACGTGCCTTTCTCCGATAAAATGTGCGCGGACGGACATTAAATCTTGCACGTTTAGCGTAATTAGTATTTGCTCGTTCAAACTTTACTTAGCTGTCAGCTGATCGGCGTGTTTCACTGATCAATCTCAGTCAAGTACGGGCGATCAAGATTTAGGAAGATAAGTTACTAACAAAACTTATACGAGTTCTAGAAATTAAACGAATTAAGCACGTCCGAAACCAGTCCCATTTTTACGATTAACAATGATAAATTTAATGATATCAGATACTAAATTGTAATATTAATTTCATCTGTTAACATAAACATATGTAAGACAGAAGACCGCAAAAAATGACATTGGTCGCTCACCCTACTTTCCCCAAAATGCGTCAATTAATCGCGATCATTTTCGAGACTTCGAAGCGTATCCAGTTCCCAACACTCTCGCTGAGAATCGTTTGGCCGTGAGCGTGCAACGCGGGGCCGCTATCTTTCTTCCCACCATGGCGAAAGGCGACCGCGGCAGCGGCAGCGGCAGCGGCGGGCAAAAGCAAGAGTCAACGTACGTACGCTCGGTTCCGCTCCGCGACGGCGAGGATACTACCGACAGTGTGCCATCGAAAGGAGTCAGTTTCCGCGTGGTCTCCGGCGCGTCGGTGTGTTTCTCTACCTGCCCGCTCCGCGTGTCCTCCACTCACGGTGATCACGCACGTAACACCGTGGAGATGCGCTCGACGCTCCGCAATGTTCATCGCGCCCAAGTCGCGCTACTCTCGCTGGGTGAGTACGAGATTGCGGATGCGAAACTCTCGCGATACGATGCTCAGCGGATTAGTTGTAGGAAAGTTATGCGCGGGCCGAATCGGCGAATTCACGCTCCGGTGGGCGCACCGAAGACGGCGAAGACGCGAGACGCGAAAGTCTAGCTATTGACGCGCGAACTTGACCATTGTCTCGAGAAGAAAAGACACCATTGGATAGCTACGATGTTGTATGATTGACATAAATGTTCGCGCGATACTGTAGCGTGACGGAAATGTAATACTGTTCGGCATTGAAACATCGGCGTGACGCTTGGCTGCTCAAAAATCTAAATAATCGCCGTAATCGGTGTTACAAATAATGAACGTAATATATATAAATCAAATGGACGTTACTTAAGAGTGTAACGTTGTGTGATTAAAAATGCAACTTATAAATAATAAAATTGAATAATTATCAGAGATGACAGAAAGATTATTTTGAATATCAAGTCGAGGGATAATCTTAGTCTATTTTCGGTATTGCAATCAACTCGAGAACATCATTGAGATGCATCCTCGATGCTAAGTACATGATCGCTCGGTGTAGAGCTGTAGAGGATTGTATACCACGTAAACACGCGTTCCTGACACGTGCCGAGGTCCCCGGGGAATTTGTCGAGGAATCGAGGGCAACTGGTTAGCACCAGCCGTCGTCTATATATCCGTTTCCACGGAACTCGGAGTTGCCGTAAACCCGGCTGGAATCGTATCTCCGGCTGACGTCAGGCGTCGTCCTAGCCGTCGGCGCCGACGTCGACGCCGTCGCCAACGCCAATGTTGACGCGGACGGCGATGCCAACAGCAGCGTCGGAACACCACGGGGAAATCAAGCGTTCTCCGCTTTTATTTGCATAAAATAATGGGACTGACCGCGTCACGTTCGAAACGTCGGCCTCGCAGATTTTCCCTGCGAATTTCATTATTCCCCGGCACATCTGCCGCTCCTCCCGGCCCGAGATCGCGCGATGGTACTTCGATTCCGCGTTCGGCAACAACAGGCGACGGTCATTAAGCCGGATGCAAATGGGATAGAGCACGCGTAAGGAAATTCCCAGCGCAAATTTCTTTCTCTTGTCGCGTGTCGCGAGTAGAATCGCAAGTGCGCGGAGAAGCTGAATGCCAAAGAGAATGCAATTGCGAGAGAAGAATTAAAGGATGTCAAATCTATCAAACATAAATATGTATATCTGTCTTCGTTCGCGTGCACTGGTGTAAATGTAAAAATCGCGTGAAATAAAGGTATAAATTTGCGGCTGTGGGGAAAAAGGACAATATGAACTTCGAAAGTTCCAAAGACGCTTGTGGATAACTACCATATTCTGTACATGAGAGATAAGTGGCTCACGGCCGTGTTTTCTCGGTCATTATTTACGCAATCGCGCTAATTTCACGTGAACCCTTTCTATTCTTTTTTTCTTCGCTCCAAGCGCGACGTTTCACGAAATCCATGGCGGTTGAATAGTGGTGGCACCGCGCCGCGAAATGGGATTATGTCTCGAATTCGTGGTAAAGCCCGACAGTGCAAACTAATTCGTCGCTCGGGTATATTTTTAATTCGCGGGCAGGCGTACGCGCGGATCGGCGAAAAAAACCATTTTTGCCAGCGATTGTAACCGGCGAACGTAACCGTACGTGCGCCTGTACAAACATCAACGGAACGATGGTTCGGAATCCCGGCCGCCGGCCTATCATCCGGCTGCTATCCCAACCCAGAGCGCGGCACTTAATCCCGGCAAATATAGACGGAATTCCGCAGCATTGTTGCGCATACGACGAGCAGATTTGAATATTACCGTTGCGCACGCATCACGCTAATCGCTCCCCTGTCGCTCGGCTATACTGCGATTAATTATCGGCTGAGCGCGTAATCCAGCTCGCACGCGAGTGAAACTTGGGACGAAATCAATTTTCGTCGGATTCAAATCCTAAAAGCGTTATCTGGCGATTGTCAACGCGTGCTACCGATCGGATCATCGTGTAAATCCAACGAAATATTAACACTACGCAAACGCCGAAGAGATGAAACTTGGATCTTAACATAACGGATAAATCTAACATTCAGTGTAAAATCTAAAATAGCTTAAGATCCATGAATTAGTTGGTCCAAAAGTTCCGGTACGAATAAATGTGAAAGATAAATCCTGCTCCGATGTGAATAGTACATCTTGGAGTAACTACAAATTAAGTGAAGGAGGTACGAAGCTGCTAGCTCTGACAGTTAATTCTGGAAACTCGCCAGAGTCCCAGACATATAAATCCACAAATGGGCGACCAAAATCGAGGAGCTGAAATATTTACGCGGAAATTTAGACGGAGGATTACGTAAACAGTAGAATTAGCGGATCTTCGAATCATTCATCGCGTCCTTGGGTCTTCGAAATGTGAATTTATATGCCAATTTTAAAATCCTATAATGTGGGTTAATGCGAATAGCAAAATCTTTCTGAATCCCGCGTTGCACGCTACCCTTCGACCAGCGACGTATGTATCCTTTGCAGGAATCAAACGTCGACGGAGTGCAGACGGCGGATCACCGATGAATTTTTCAACGTGCTTAAACCAGAAATCCCCCTGCTCGTCGAGCACAGAGTCGGTCGTGATGTGCGGTATCAGCGTCGATATCGATGCGCTCGGGCGTATCCATTAAATCGGTCGATATACCGATGGTATTGTAAATACGATACGTGAGCCAAAGATCCTTACGACCGCTCGTACGGCAAACGCTGACAAAGGTCTTCAGAAAACTCCTCCGCGAGTCCCTCCTACTCTCCCCCCGCGTTTCTTTCCGACTTCGCCGTAGGAAAGACCAGCCCTCACACACATACACCCACACACACACACACACACACAGACGTCCACACGAACGTCTCTCCCGATCGTGAAACTCCGCGACGGTGTTTCATCGTGTTACGTGCTGGCTTCGGACGTTTTTCTTCTTACAACGGAATCAGTTTTCGCCGACGAGGCGATCGTAAAATTTAACGACGTTAATTCGGGGCCCGCCGGAATCTCGTCGCGAAACAACCGAGCAGGAGTGAAATCGAACTTCCTAATTCGTCAAGCTTTTAAAATGTATTGGGTATCCTAAATAAAATATTATTCACAAACATGACTTTAATAAAAGAAAAATATTAATATTCTTTACTCTAGATTAAGATTTTTAGATCCCAAGCGCCATGACGATCATATTGCAAAAATCGAAAAAGCAAGTTGAGATATACGCAAACAACCGTACGCGATGCTTCCAACTCGTCGTTCGACAACGCGGTCCAAGACTCCCAACCAATACAAATATACAGACATGGCTTTCGCACTCCCGGTTATAATACCCGGAACAAACTGAAGAGAATCGGACGAGAGACGAATCGCGCGAAAGTTTATTAACTGCAACGGGGCTGCGGCTTGTCTCGCGCGACAAGTAAGTAATTTGTATTCGCAACAAGTTTCTCACGTCGGTAACGAAATATCGGAGCACACGCACGTATATCATCGCGGCTTTCCGCCGCGGACTCGACAAATTTACTTGCGCTCGTCGAATCACGCTGGAATGCGTTAACGATGAATAAAAGAACCGGAACGATGAGAAAAAAGTAGAAAGGAAAGGGTGCCAAAGGCAGGCGGGTCTCTCGCTCGACGAAACGCATCGTCGCGTCGCGTCGTGCCGCAGCGTCGCGTGCGATTTGTACTACGCCAAGACAAAAGACGGCACGCGATATCTCAGGCATCGCGATAAAACATGCCGTCACGCCAATTTCGCTCGCGTGTCGGCAACGGGACGTGGAACACACGGGAAACCCGAGCGTGCGTCCCCATGCATACGTGGGAAATCCTCGTTAACGCGGTATATGATCGTTGCGTCGCAATAATTTTCATGCGTTCCGTGAATCTTATTTTTACTTTCGACCCGCGAGCACGATATTCTCCTGTCCCTTATGAGATTTATAAACCGATTATTATGTCCTCATCAATCTCACCGTGCGCACCGAATTGCCGCAATCTCCGTTTCGCCCGTTTGCTTTGAGAAAAAAAAATGGAGCAATGTACTCCGACATTTAATTAATAATATAATGCGGGAATTGTGCTTTCTATCGGTTGGTATATATGCGAATTTTTAACAATACCTCATTCCTTCGATTGCTTTTGTATTTCTCGGAGTCTATTTTGACGTTTCACAAGCGAGGCTCCGAGCGTGGAAAACATCGCGAGCTGACGGCTCGACAGAATAACAAGCATAATGCACTGGAACGGAAGTGTAAAGGCGACGTGTTCGGCGAAGATCGAAATTGCGCGACTCGCCGGAGGTTTTTCCTCCCTATTGCCAGAGCAGTTTGCGTTTCCGTGCATATAAGGTTTCGCGTAGCAATCGCGGGACGTGTTATTATCCGTACACAAGCTCGCTTCTCTCGCGCGCGAGTTTACCGCACACGTTTCGCGACGCCGCGCGCCGGGTGAGACGTCTCCTTCAGCGAACCGCATTTTCTGCATGGCAACGCGCTCACGCGCGTTGCAATTTCTATTCCCTGCATTTTATTTCTGTTTCTCCAATTCTTCGCCCTCCGCCTTCGCTCGCGACCTCCACATCCTCCGTCTTTCTCCCCCACGCGATTTCTCGCGGCATGGTCTCTATGTGTGTGCGTTGGTGATTTGTAACGTAAACTGATACTCTCGGCTGCTTTCACCTGCCCGACGACTTCGAGTAACACGGTAATACAACCCGCCGTTGATACCTGTTGTAATTAATGCAACCCAATTTGCCATTACGCCTTTTCTGTTACGTTATGGCATTAACGGGCAAAATTTACATAACGCCGGTGCAGGAAAGGAATCGTACGAGCGCAGCGCAACGTGTGGAGGACGACGCGCGTTCGTTCAATGAAATCTGATATTTCTTTCGTTCTCTTAGATCTTTCTCTTTCTCCCCGGAATCGGTTTCATATATTTAATAGAAATTCTCCCCGGTTTCCCCGACGCGGTAGA